GGGTACCAGCTCCTAATAGCACCAGGGACTGGTGACCAAGCTTAAAACATGCGGTCTCTAATGGACACTCAATCAACCCACAGTAACATCTAAGTCCACCTAAGTTAAATGACTCCAAACTATCATCCCTATTGTGACAGTGACATCATGCATGTGAGTGTGACATATTTAAGTGCTGGTTCTGTGACTCAACTGTGGTTCTCAAGGTATCTTTTCTTCATGAAGTATCTTGAATGATAAAATAAGGCATTTATAAAGCTGAAAATGCTTTTGACAGGCGATGAGATTTCTGATAGATTTCCACAGACTGTCTGAGTCAGGAGGATAACTGTTACTTCCAAGGCCCAGAAACCAGTTTCCCATATAAACAATGCTAAGTCATATGCAGAAAAATCAAGTTCCTCTGTGTAAATGTGTAGGGAGAAAGAGAAAGAAATAGAATGTGTGGGAACCACTGAGAAAAGTATCAGCAAGACCCACGGGAATGGCTCTATGTCTTTTCCTTAGGAATAATACTTCAGATTACATAATTACAGATTCCCAGGAAGAGATACTCAAATCTATCAGTGACATTTGTTTGACTTGTGCATTTTTTACAGAAAATTAGAAGTGCATTGTGGATTTTGCTCTAAGTCTTCTTTTTTTCCCACTCAAGCAGAATTGAGATACTCAAGTCAATAGCAGAACATCGGATATGAGACCCCAGCAAACGTGAAATAAAATCAAGCCCCCACCCTGTCCCCAGCAGACACTGAAGGCCACAGAAGGAAAGTCAGCTGCAGCTCACAGTTCTATTTTGAGCAGAGGGTTTAAATGTCGCCAGCTTAGACTAAGGTCACCTTTCAAAATGTTTCTTTAAAGGAAATTAATTGAATATATATCCTTTCACACTATAAAATGTTAAAGACCTGCCAGACTGTGGTGGCACACATCTTTAATCCCAGCACTTGGGAGGCAGAGGTGGGTGGATCTCTATGAGTTCCAGGGCAGCCTGGTCTACAGAGCTACTTCCAGGGCAGTCAAGTGGTTAGGCAGAGAAACCATGTCTCAACCCCCAATCCAAAGTTAAAGACTTGGCACAGGCCTCTCTGGCTTCCCTTGTCTTTGTTTCTATAGATATCAAACTGATATATAAACTTCAGCCCCAAAGTAAGAGAATCCCAGGAAAAACAAAAATGATGTCTTAGTTTTTACTAAGTTTCTTTCTTTTATGTGTGTGGGTTTTTACCTGTTCGTACATATGTGTAACACATGCCTGGTGGCAGTGGAGGCAGGTGAGGGCATTAGATCCCCTGGAACTGGAGTTACAGAGAGTTGAGAGTCACCTGGTGGGTGCTGGGAACCGAGCTAGATCCCCTGGAAGGGCAGCCAGTGCTTTAACCGCTGAGCCGTCTCTCTGGTCAAGTTTTAGTTTAACAGTCAAAGTTATTGATCACTGTATGTAGGACGTGACTATAAAATGTTTGAACTGGAATGAGAGTCACCTCTCTGACTTCAGTGTTTTCTTAATCATAACCAGGGTCTATGAAGACAGCTTCCCTTGCCCCTTATTGGACACTATTAATCCAACATGGCCATTTTCCCATCTGGGCTTTGGAATCCTTGGCATGGAATTTTATTGCACATGGCCCACAGATGGAAATGGCCTAAGAAAAATTAACTATTCCTGGGAAAAGCCTTGTTCTAAACACTCTGTATCTATTACTTCCAGTCAGTGATCCTATTAGCCCTATTGATGGTTTTAAACCTAGCTCAAGTATTATTAACCTTGTTTCACTATGAAGACACAGAAGTACAGTAATTTGCCCAAAGTCATGAGTCTGGTAAATGCAGAGGTGATAGGCGAATCCCACTGTGCCTAGAGTACCCGTCCCCCACCACTATGCTGCAGCATCTCTTAAAACCAAACAGAACAAACTTCCACTGATGCAGGACAGCCAGGCTCTGCAGCTCCCATTCACAGAACAGTGTGGACAGCTAACTGTTCCGAGTCGTGTGCTTCCATGTGCTAAGAGATCAGGTCTGCAACAGTCCAACCCATGCACACAGCCACTACACAACGTGACGGAGGTTAATTAGTTTGATTCAATAATCCCTTCATGACAGAGGGATATATTCTGAAATTTCATGTTGTACATTTCGGCTGGTTAGTTTTTATCAACTCCACACAAGCTTGAGTCATTTGGGAAGAGGGACTCTTAACTGAGGAATTGCCTCCATCCAATTAGCATGTAGGCATATTTGTGGGGCATTTTCTTAACTAGTGATTGATGTGGGGGTCCCGCCCACTGGGTACCACCAACCCTGAGCATGTATGTGGTCCTGGGCTGTATAAGAAAGCAGGCTGTGCAAGCTATGGAGAGCAAGCCAGAGCTGCATCCCTCTGCTCTGCTTCAGAGCCTGCCTGCAGGTTCCTGCTTTGAGTTCTTGCTCTGGCTTCTCTTAACGATGGGCTGTGGCGTGTAATAAACCACCTCCTTCCCAGGTTGCTTTTGTTTGTGGCGTTTCATCATCGCAACAAGCAAACTAGAAAAGAAGTTGAAACTGTGCCATTATAACTCATCAAAACCAGAAGAAAAGGTCAAAGGTGTCTAAGGTCTTTCTGGGAAACATCAAATGTAAAGATATGGAATAAAGTAAAATGGACTTGATGGTGTCTTTGTAGCCTTTCTGTCTCACAGAACTTTGGGCAGTTTTCTTTTGTCTATTTGTCTTTTGCTTGTTATTGTGATTTCCAGTTTTGTGAGGACTTGGGAGGCTCTGTGTGTGTGTGTGTGTGTGTGTGTGTGTGTGTGTGTGTGTCTATATGTGTTTATTGTGCTTTTTTCTTTTTTATTATTCTGGTTTATTTATTTTCTGTTTGCTTGTTTTCTGAAGAGAGAAAGAACATGGAGTTCAATGAATGGGGAGGATTTAGAAAGAGTTGGGGTAGAGAAAACCATGATTAGATGCGTTGTATGAAAAGGGTTTTTTTCCAATTAAAAAAAGAAAGTAGTAGATTAGTGGTTGCCTAGTGCTGAAGGCTGGATGGAAACAGGGAGAGCATTAATGGATACTAGGTTTCTTTGGGTGAGGATAATGAAAATGTTGCAAATTTGATTGTAGTGATGTTTGCACAACCCTATAAATATACCAAAAAACCCACTGGATTACATACTTTAAAGGAGTGAATTACATCTCAATATATCTCAATAAAGCTGTTATTTTAAGAAGGAAAAAGGAAAAAGAAGCAAAAGCAAGCCATGGAGATGGTGGGATTTTTACCTCTTTATGGATAATCTAAAACACACATCACTGAAAAGTAAACCACATACTAAACCTCACAAACTGCTCTCTAGTTTTAATGGCTTTCAAAAATCTGCCAATCATGTTTTCAATCTGCCCTCCTCCTCCTCCAGATTTTTTGCTTTTGTTCTTGTATTATCTTACACTAAAACAGAATGATACCATTATTGAAAATATCTGATACAGAATAATAGTCACAAAAATAGAGCACAGTAGCATGGCACTAGCCTAGAAGGGTCCCCCAGGGCTACCCTCACAGCAGCTGTTGGGGAGCCCTACGCCCAACCTTCCTGTGCCCCCTTCACCCTGTCAGAGGCTATGCAGCCTTCAGTCACAGCACAAGCTCACCACCATCCTCTCTCTTCAGTCCCCAAGAGAGGGAAGACTCCTGAGGGCCACATTAACCTAATGTAAGTACATGGGGGTGGGGTGGGGATGCTGACACTTAGAAGAGGTGAAAGGATAAAAAGCTAATCTTTGTAAAAAAAAAAAAAAGACAGCGAAGAAAAACACGACTGCTCTTACAATAAAACTATAGATAAAAGCTCCAGTTTGAGGTTCATATTAACAACTGTAAACAAGCAATTTTCTTAACAAAAAGCTGTAAGCTCATACTCAACTCCCATCTTGGGGTGGAGGTGATCAGTGCCCAGAGCTGAAGAATGAAAACAGACATCAATAAGGTTTAATCTCAGAAGAGAAATAGCTTCTGGGGAACCTAACCTCTCAGGTCACTGGCAGCTCCTTTTTCCATGAATAAAAAATGACTCCCTCTTTGCCAGTGGAACGTGAGACGGGCTGATGGCTGTTTCTGTAGGAGTTATTAATAACACTTCTCGTCAACTCTGATCTTATTTAAAATGCATGTCAGATGCAGATAATCAAATGAGCTACGTGTGTAAATGCATTTTATAGTACTCATGAGTGTAATGCTGAGTTAACATTGCAAAAATCTTTCATATTAACACTCATTTTCATTGATTAACCTTCTAAAGAGACTGGTGATTTTCTACTCCAAACTACCTCCCAGAACACAGATCCTAGTCAATAATTAAAGGGATATATGTTCATCTTTAGAAATAAAACTCAATCACTTCATGAGTTTTATATCATCTTTCCTAATCAAGCTGTCTATGATTGGAAACTCAGATGCTCTGTCATGAATGACCTCAGCGATAGTCGCAGGAAGGTTCTTTTAAGATTTATTCATTTTATTGTGTGTGTGCATATGTGTGTATGTGTGTGCATATGTGTGTATTTGTGTGTATGCATGTGTGTGGGCATGTGTGTATGTGTGTATGTATGTGTGTGTGCATGTGCGTGTATGTGTACGTGTGTGTGTGTGTGTGTGTGTGTGTGTGTACACGTATGTACCACATGCATGTAGTGTTCACAGAGATCAGAAGAAGGCATCAGATTGCCTGGATCTAGGTAGCTATAAGCAGTCCCAGTGTGGGTTCTGAGAACTAAGCCTGGGCCCACTGCAAGGGTATTAACTTCCCGTGATTGAGATAAAGGATAGTATCAAACAGGTTATTCTTCTTTGGTGGATGATTAAATACAGAAACACGATGATAGAGTAAAGCAGTAGATCCAAGTTCTTAACGAACCAAACAAAGATGGTACGCAGGATCCTTAGGCATCGTCTGCCCTCCGTCAGCTCCCTGCAGGGCACAGTCTCTACTACCCACCCTCAGCCCATTTACTCCACTCACGGGTCGCTGGCCGGCTCTGCTCTGGCTGCACACTGTCCAGGGACTGGGTGCTGGGCACTGCAGAGACACTGGAGCTCCTCACGAAGCCGAAGGCCGCCAGCTTGGCTGCTGGGAGACGTGAGTAACCAGGAGGACGGAGCCCAGATTTTGGTAGACTGGATTTTGCAGCATTTGAATTGGAGGCTTTCTTGAGATCTGTTAAAATGAATCAAGAAGAAAAATTCTCAGTGAACAGCAAAATGGAGAATGTCACAGAGTATGTCATCTGTCACGAGTAGACCAATCTTGAAGGCTCCAATTCTGCACACTAGCAAACCAACCTTTAATAGGAAAGTCCCTTGCCAGGGCAGGTGTTTCAGAGTACTTAGGAAGGACAGCCACAGTGGCCGCTTTCAGGTAGATGACATTCACAGTCTCTCTAGTAGAGGCAAGGAGGACAGACAACTGCCCCCACTCTAAGCCCCAGCAAAGACTAAAGGGCTCAGGACCCTGAACTGAAAGAGAGTAGCAACTGTTTCAAGTTACCTTAAATCTGTGGGAACAAGATAAACCTTAAAATGTAACACACAATGGGCTCTAACCACAGGTGATTAGCCACATAGAAATGCATTCCATGAGTTGTTCATACTGCTAACCCTCGCACTTTGGAATAGGGTTATCCAGACTGTAATCCCCAAAGACTAACTGGGCAAACCCCCAAACCCTCACCCTACCCTGAGAACAACAGTATCTGCTTGTAAAGAATGATGCCATAACTCATGTTCAACATCTACTACATAGTCTGGTAGGTGCTTCAGGCAGTATTGAGATTTCTCTTGCTTTCCCATTATTGGTTTTTATGTTAGTTCAAATTTCAAATTAGTCCCTCTGTATGTACCCAGCCAGGGAACGTAAGGATGGTATGAAGCAGTATCTCTACACCTGCATGGGACTATCAGGAATGAATACTTTAAAGCAGAAAAATGTGGGCACTGTGTAAAAGATGTCTGGCATTATGCTGGCAGGAGGAGACAGAAGAGAAACCCCCTCTTCTGGGCACTTGGTACTGCCAGGTGCTGGCAGTCACAGATACCAGTTCAAAAAGGCCCAGGGGCACTGGACAAGGTGTGACTCTCTGTGAAGTATACATACTTTTAGAGACCTCAGCTCAGGTGTCATGGGACTACAGCCTGAAAACTTGCAAACAGAAGGCTACACTACAGAGAAGAAATTTCGAAACACAATTACATAGTATGCAGTGTGCTGGGAGCCTGGTTCAAACCAAAGAGTTGTCATTCAGCCTTTCCTTCCAGCCGTAAAGTGGTCACCACATTGCCATCGTGAGGTGGAGATTACCTTGGCTTGATAGCCACGAAGGAAGGAGAGTCATGAGATTCCCACTTTGAACTCTAGCCATCATGCTTATCCCAACCCAGAGCTGCAAGTGACCTCGGGACATGCTGAAGTGTCCAGGAAGAAGAAGGCTAACCAGAAGGAGGCCTTCCTGGTACATCCTCCATTCATGGTGGGGCTTCATGGTGATGAACATCATAGTCCTGTGAGTAACTCCTCCATTGCCCTCTGTCTGTGAGCCCAATAAACTCATTGGTTCACCAAGCTGAGTTTTGGGGACAAATAGACATTCATTCACATTTCTTTGTGTTTGTTTGTTTGTTTATGGTTTTGTGGGGGCTTTTTGTTGAGGGCAGTTGTTCTCTTCATTTTAGAAATGGAGTGGCTGTACCTATGAAAAATGCCACAAAGTGATTCAAAGTGGGAAAACATAAATGTTCCCTGACTTTGGAAATCAGTATGGAGATTCCTCAGGAAAATGGGAATCAGTCTACCACAAGATGCAGCAATTCCACTCTTAGGCATAGACCCAAAAGATGCACATTCATACAACAAGGACATCTGTTCCACTATATTCATACTAGCATCATTTGTAATACCCAGAACCTGGAAGCAACCTAGATGCCCCTCAACTGAAGAATGGATAGAGAAAATGTGGTACATTTACACACTGAAGTACTATTCATCAGAAAAAACAATGGAATCTTGAAATTTGCAGGCAAATGGATGGCACTAGAATAAACCATCCTGAAAGAGACAACCCAGTCACAAAAAGACAAACATGGTATGTACTCACTCATATATGGACTTTAGAGATGAATCAGGGGAGTGCCAGCCTACAATCCCACTGCCAGAGAGCCTGAGAAACAGAACCTTCATCCAGTGACTGATAGAAGCAGAGGCAGACACCCACAGCTAAACACTGAACTGAACTGGAATTCAGTGACAGAGAGGGAGGACCGATGAGCAAATGGGTCAAAACTGGCCTGGCTTAACCCACAAAAACAGCTGACCTGAACAAGGGGGGAACTCTTGGACCCCAGGTTGATGACTTGGAGGCCAGCATGGGACTGATCCAGACCCCCTAAATGTGGGTGTCAGTGAGGAGGCCTAAGCAATCTATGGGGCCTTTGGTAGTAGATCAGTATTTATCCCTGGCATACAAATGGACTTTGGGTGCCCATCCCACAATGAGTGATGCTATCCCAGCCTGGACTCTTGGGAGAGGGTCTAGGCCTTGCTCTGAACAAAATGACAGACTCTGGATATTCCCCCATGGAGGGCCTCACCTTCCCTGGGGAACAGAGTGGGAACTGGGTGGGGGGCTGGAGGGCCTGGGGGGGGAGGAGAGGAGGGAGAGGGAGCTGGGATTGACATGTGAAGCAAGCTTGCTAATTTAAATTTTAAAAAATGTTCCCTGTTCCCTCCCCATAGTCATCACTCACTGAGATAAGGCTATGCCATTTTCCCATGGCCTTTAAAAAATACCAATCTTTGGAATCCTCTTGCCATCTCCCTGCTGTATGGAGGAGTCCCAGGTGCTGGCTTAGTCAGACGTCCTCTCCTTCATGTGTATGAGGACGATGCTGAAGATGAAGAGCATCATGGAGAAGGCGCCGGCGTAGGAGGGACAGACTGAGTGGATGAAGCCCTCACACTGTGTGCTGGGGTCTCACTGACACTGGAGAGGAGGTGTAGAGGTGTGTGTGGCCTGGCCGTTTGCAATCCACTTTAAACTGGAACCCTCCATATGCACCAAGGAGACTGAACTGGACACTGTACTTGCCACCTTCTTCAAGAAGGTTCTCACAGAGGGGTCAATGTGCAGGAACTCCAGTCTTACGTTGTCACCATCAAAGGGGACCCACATGCCATTGGAGGGCTGCTCAATCGCAATGTGGTACTCCACTAGGTCAGTGACAATGTAGGCATTGGGTGGGGCTGTCTCGTCCACCAGATGATGGGACACAGGCCCCACTCCGAGGACGCCCTCCTCCTTGAACATGCAGCAGTAGAGGGCCACACCTAGCTCATAGCTGTCTGACTGAGAATACCTCTGGGCGCTGGGTGTGGCCTTCTGTGCTGCTGAGTTGAAGAAGGCATCTATGAAGAAATCCAGGGAGCCACTGAAGATGACCTGGGCATTGTTCTTGACTCAGAGCCCCGCAGTCGGGAGAGTGCTCTTCCCCACTGTGTGGTAGTACTGGGAAGGAGGAAGGAGCCTCTAAGGATGTCCAAAGCCAAGGGACTGCCACCATTCCAATTCCTTGGAAGAGATTGGGTCCCATCAATGGTCCTGGGGCCTTCAGCAAGTTCTCAGTGTCAGTCACGTTGAGGGTATGCTGGTTAAGGTCCGAGACATTGTAATTGTGATGGTCAATGACAGCTGCCACCACCATCAATGAAGGCACCAACGGTCTCCTATTGGCTCCAAAGTCTTTCACTGGAGGAGAGAAGATGATGGGGTTGTCATAGAGGAACTCTCTGTACTTAGTGAAGGACAAGCTGGAGACATCTGAAGTCCCAAAAGTGAACTCAAAGCCCCAGTCTTTCAGGTTGTAGAAGAACATTGAGTGCCTATCCTGCACGTTGAGGTTGTCCAGCAGCACAGGGTGTGGGGGTCGCTGGTGCAGACTAGCTGAGCACAGCCAGCAGCAGCCTACAGAGGGTGTGGCGAGGCAGGGATCCATCTTCATCTTCTAACAGGAGAGGCCAGCACCAGAGAGGCCTTGACACCTCACTCACATGTCTTTAGGAGCAGCTATGACAGCAAAGAATCTATAGGAGAATAGGCAGACACCACCTCCAAGAAGTGAGCCAAAGATCTGGAATGGCTGCACAGGTGAAGGGACCAGCATTCCACAGCTGGAATCCTGGAGGACTGCCCAGAGGTGTGACCCACATCAGTGATCTTAGTATGAGACCTGAAACCGTGAAACTGCTAGAGGGAGATGTAGGGAGAGAGCCTGATGGTGCAGGCAGAGTCTCAGGCCTCCATAGAATTCTGGGTGCTCAGAAAGTAATGCCAGCAATCAACAAACGTGACTCCATGACATTGAGAAGCTCCTGCACAACAATCAAGTGAAGGGAGAGCCTACAGGACGGGAGAAAATCTTTGTTACCTACCTGCACATCAGAAAAGAAGATTAATATCTAGGATACAGAATATACAAAGAACATGAAAACAACCCAATCCATAAATCCTAAAGAAATGAACAGTTCTCAAAAGATGAGATGTCTTCATCGATCCCTGCCCCTCAGGGTTTGGGAGCTATGTAAAAGAGGAAGAGGAGGATGGTGGGGGGCAAAGGGGATGGGGGACACCAAGGACAGTGTCTTCCAGACACAACAGAGGACTGACACACATATGAGCTGTGCAACATGCACAGGACCTGCATGGGTCTAAGTCAGATGGGGCCCCAGGGCTGGGAGGGGAAGAGGACACATGCTTCGACCAAAAGCAAGAACTTATTTCCAATTGGCAACCACTTACAAAGGAAAAGTTGGTTTTCTCCATACTTAAGGATAGGCCCGATGTCCAGGAATAGATGGCCAAGATAAAAGGAACCTTGATGGCAATTTTTTTTGTAGACTTTTTGTCTCAGGTATTTTGTCTGGGTCTTTTTTGTCTTACTGATCTTTTACTTGTATGTTATGGTTTCTGGTGTGTGTGTGTGTGTGTGTGTGTGTGTGTGTGTGTGTGTGTGCTGTACTTTTTTTAAAATTCTGGTTTGCTTGCAGGTTTTCGTTTACCTGTTCTTTTTCTAAAGAGAAAGAATGGGTGTAGATTTGTGGGTAGGGAAGTGGAGAGGATCTGGGAGGGGTTGGGGGAGGGGAAGCCATGATCAGACTGTACTGCATGG